CAGTCGACCTGAAAGATGCGTATTTTCACATCCCAGTATATTACCCACACAGGAAATATCTGATATTCGCATTTCAGGGGATCTGTTATGAATACAGAGTACTCCCCTTCGGTCTGTCTCTCAGTCCAAGGGTGTTTGTACGATGTACGGAAGCCGCGATAACCCCGTTAAGACAACAGGGTATTCGCCTGGCGACCTACCTGGACGACTGGCTGCTTCTCGCACAGTCGGAGCAGGAGGCTGTTACGCAGACAAATGTCCTCGTAAAGCACCTGCTCAACCTGGGTTTCATAATAAACACAGAGAAGAGCATGTTGTGCCCCGCGCAGACTATACTCTTCCTGGGTTTACGCCTGAACTCGGTGCCCTTTTCAGCTCGCTTGTCAGCGGAAAGAGTGAAAGCTTTCAGAGCTTGTCTCGCTCTTTTCCAGCTGCGCAAACATGTTCTCTTCAGATCATGCCTGCGATTGCTGGGGCTCATGGCGTCAGCCATCCTGGTCGTACGACTGGGACGCTTACACATGAGGGAGTTTCAGCGCTGGGTGGCCGCCCTAAAACTAAAGTGTGATGGTTACTGTGAAATGCGTAATGGCACTGCGCCACTGGCTGCACCCGACTTTTCTAGTACGAGGTGTGCCTATGGGTGCTGTTCTTTCACGGAAAGTGGTCACCACGGACGCATGTCTGACAGGTTGGGGAGGCTATGTGAATAAATGTAAGTGATGTGATGCAAGTAGCTCTTGGCCACTTTAATTTCTTCAAAGTAGCTCTCAGATGAAGAAAGGTTGGAGACCCCTGCCCTAAATGTTATGATTAGTCAATGTATTGTTGATAAAGATATTATTAGAAGTATCACATTTTAACACAGTGCATAGCAAATGTGCAAGAGAACACATTCATTATAACAAAGCAACTCCTTGACCGACAATTAAATCAACAGCATTACTTGTGTCCATTGGAGTTTTTTTGTTGTTGTTGCAATTTACACTTTGTGGGATTTAGAAAAACATAGTCCAACCTAAGAAAAACATATTGTAAATTAAAAGCATACATCACAGTAGCCTGCATCTGTGTTTTATTCTTGTTCAGATTGAGGAAAAGCTGTGAGCTATGATCATAGTAAATTACTTTGACGTACCAATCCTACTCTATCCTGACATCAAGGAATAGGCCTCAAATATCTTTGCTCCAGAAGTGGAGGTTTTGTACTTACAGACAAATATAGTTGGATGAGATAGGGATAAAAGATTGAAAATTTTAATCTAGAGCCGAACAGCAGTATGAGCAGAGATGAGATGCAAACCAAGAATCCCTCTGGGGGCGAAAGATATGGATTATAAGATCCTGTTGCTCGTCCATAGAGACACAGGCAATCGCTCAGCTGTTTGATATCCTTTTGTAGCATCTGCTTGATGCTACTGTGTGCTTTTTACTCACCCTATAGAATATGTTATGACTATGATCAATGTTTTTTTTGTATCTATGACACCTTTTAAGAATCCAACCTTTATTTTCTGAGATTGCAACTCCAAGAGAGTCTCTGTGTTGCACTGCTAGCCCTGCAGCATGTTACAATAGATTGTATGTGCTTCAGGTTATGGACCCCAGTGGCATAATGAAATAGATTGCTCTCTGAATGCAAGAGAACCTGCCTGTATGTATGAATGTGAGTTTCAGGTTATATTGTATACATTCTTCAACCTTTACCTGTACCAAATTCATGCATGTCTTTGGTTTGTACAATATGAAATAGCTTTTGGTAACAACAGACCTTTTTAAAAGCAGATGTGTGGCTGTTCACATTTTCATTGGGTAGAACTGGGCACAGATGGCTCTGATGTAATCTCTTCAATCTGCTATTAATCACACAGTGCAGAAAAAAAGGAAAAAAGAGACTGCAGTAAAGGTCAACGAGAGGTGGATTTTGCAGTATTTGTTACATGGGATGGTGTCTCCAGATAACTGCACATAACCTACTGTATGAGATTATCAAAGTGCTTTTGGGCAGTGATCTACCTTTACCGCTGACTTCATAACTGTATTTTTTAACAGGTTTACCGTTAACAATTTATAGTGGGGCCAGACCTAACATGGACTATCTTTATTCCAGCTCTTACAAATACAAGCTCCATCTCAGCTGGTGTGTCCTGGGATTAAACAGAGCTGCAGGCAGCAGTATCATAGCTCCTGTGCACACGGTTCAGGTGCAATTTAGTCCCAAAACATCAGCCTAAAGCCGCAGGCACCTGCTGCAGCCAGTACACAGGGCCTTCACTTACACACTGAGATGTTGGTCGATGTGCACAAGAAGCCAAATTATTCAGAGGAATTGTGTTAGGGCAGAACATCTGAGAACTTGTTGACATGCACTGCAGTAGCCTGGTTACTCTAAATCCAACTTGCAGATGGTTAACCAACAAGATGTCTCCAGTCTCCTCAATCCACTCTGCTTTTCACATGTACAGTACTTAAACCAAAATGGAGTATTATTATCTCTCAAAAATTGGGTTAGAGATTGGTCTAGCCACCAGCATGTTGTTATCAAAGGCTGGCACATCTTTACTTCATATACATATTACGCCTTACTTTATTAGAAGTGCAGACATACATACATGAGCTACATACATACAAATATGCTTCCACTTTAGTTAGGTTCAAAATAAATCAAAGAGCTGCATCATATTTCTGTCAAATCATTTTAAAATGGTTTGCATCCTTTAATCCAGGCTTCTCAGAAATATGAAGAAGCAAACATCAAAGACCCACAATGTTCCTGCAGACCGACAAAAAAATGAAGAGACTAAAATGCAGAAAACTTCATTTATTTCATGTGCTAAAGATGTTTGCTTATGAGCTATTGTGATTGGTGATTGATTGGTTGTTGCTATTTATGTTTTTAGCACTATATGCCAATGGTCTTTTTACTATTTTTGCCACATGTTTGTCATATTGTGGCACCTTTAGCAAATTATATAAATGTATTGCAGCTAGTGTCAAAATGTAGTAAAAAGGACATTAAATTACATGATGAATCAATGATGGAGAGAATTCGAGCATAAAAAAGCCAACAACTTGAATAAAGTCTTAAAGGTCCCATGTCATGCTTTTCTGGTTATTACCCGTCCCCTTGTGTGTTATGTAGCTTTTTCTGCATGTAAACGGTCTGCAAAGTCACAAACCCTCAAAGTACACCCTGTAGCGAGTACAACTCTAACACAGAAAAGACCTGTCTATGCTGCCCCAGAACGCCTCGTTGGAGATTTGTCTTTTTCCAGTTTTTTCTTCCTGAGTATAGTGACGTAACGGCTCCTCACACACACACACACTCACTCAGCCTTATCTTTTCTCAGCCGCTGCTCTGTGGATCTCAACACACACACACTCACAGCCTGGCTGTTCCGCGCTGTCTCGCTGTCTCGCAGACCCCACGCAGAAACCATGTCATGGGACCTTTAAAATATAATATTTACTTTGTATATTTCTGAATTCAACTCTGGCGATCTGCACCAAAGCATTGTAATTGTAGACAGATTTTAGATGTTCACTTAAATATTTCATTTGATGCAGCTGGAAGTTGAAAGACTGCAGCCGAAACAGAGACAGGCCACACAAAAGAGAGAAGAAAGAGAAAATAGTGGTGATGGCAGACTAACTGCTGATAAAAAGGACACTGAATGGCAGCTGAATCTTTCCAAAACTAATCACATTTAGGAGTTCAGATTTGAAGGAAATTAACAACAAAATTACTTCTCAAGGACCCAGACACACTGACTACATTTGAATTCTGCCGCCTACCCTTTCTTTTAAATAAATTAGACACCCAGGCTTCCTGCACTTTATTTACTCATTGTTTATTTTCCTTTCTGACCTTGTATTGCTTGAAAACCACACGCCAATTTGTGTTAGCTGCTACAAAATCACCCACCAGTCATTAAAACCACCGAATGTATTTTTAGTTTTATTGTTAATTCTAGATTCAGATATTTAAATTCAAAGCGAAATCGGGCCGAGATGTGCTGTGTGCATACATACTCACACAAGAGCTCAGCAGGTCTTTGAGCAATGGCTGACTTTACCTTGATCTACTAGTTTGATTAAATGATATGCTGCAAATTGAGATGTGAAAGGATTGTGCTCAGTCACCGGCAGCCACGGTCAAAGTCATTACAGCTGACAGACTGTATTCAAACTAAAGAGTGAGGAGTCCTTGAGGAGATCTGAAGCCTATTACCAAGCTATAACAACAATAACCGGCTTGGCAACAAGGAATAATGCCACATTGAAACTTTAAGGCATGACTGAATAGATGAGTGTACTGTGCTGACACTCTTATTTCAATGAAAGGGCATTATATATAGATGCATACGAAGCCCTGCAGCATAGACTCCTGTCTGCTCACATGCAGGTGAATCATGATCCTCCCACGTCACAAATCCCCCGTTTACCTTTAGGGTATGCCTGCCGATGAATTATGCCATCACCTTGGTGTTAGTTCAGACTATTGATCATCTTTACCTATTGCTCCACAAAGAGGTAATAGATTGTTTTCACTGTTGATTGTTTTCTAACACATCCCACGTGCATTGTGCCATGGTGGAAGAAGTGCCTGCTCATTATTTGTGTTTGTTACTCCATCACTCTTCTTTTAAAACGCTACTTAATTCAAATTTGAGAAATATGATCAGTAATCTAAGGTATTACAAGTAAAGCAAATGTGCAACTGTTATTGTTACCCTCGTAGGTGGTTAAAGTCCCCTACGTGTATTGGGGTTACAGATGGGGTCCAAAACTAGCAAGCCACATGAATGTCTGGGAGCAAATACATTTTATATGCTACATATATATGGCCAGTTGAATTGTGTTGTGTTGAAAGGTGCTATATAAATCAACTGGCCTTGCCTTGCCTTGCAGTTACAGATGCAGTATATCACGTTGTATGCTTTAACATGCCTTATGCATTTGAAAATACTAACAGATCCTTTTTTGTATTTTTTTCACAGCTACACCCTCCGTGTGGTCGGCAACGGGATCAAGGCTCAGAGCGCTAACCCTGAGGTCAAAGTGAAGGTAGCAGACCCTGTCATAAATCAGATCATCGACAAACTCAAACACATTAACCAGGTGAGTCTCTACAGATTTACTATGTGCACATAATACACTTTCCTTTAAATCTATAATAGAGTCCCTCCTTTTTAACTGTTCTCTTAGGCAATCTGCTAATCTCTGTGCGTCTTCGTTTATGGAACATGGAGTAGCTGTCATTAGATGATAGCTTGTTTTTTAAGATGCTCTGAAACAGCTACGTTGAAAAGAAACTCACAACGCTGAAGCCCTTCACCTCTGGATAATCTTATCTTCTTTGATCATCTTTCATATTACCGGCTGATAGAAAACTATTCTCAAATACTAAATCATCCCCCAGGCTATGAAAAAAAAATCCATCATTACACATTTAAAAACCCATTTATTCCGGTTTGCGTGTCTTCACATTTACTGCTCTTTGTCAAAATCAATGTATCTTTTCTATCACCCAGCCTGCTTTTCAGCATGTGTGTGCTGCTGTGGCTCCTCTTGCTCTTCCTCTGTTTATCTCTCAGGATGATGCGATTACGGCAGTTTACTGGAGCACTTTCTCTTCTGTAGCTTCAATAACAGCCGCTGCAGCAGCCGCTGGGTTGTTGCACTGCAGCAGCAGCAGCAGCCTCACATGTCTGTTGCTTTAGTTTCCCCAGTGGCGGGCTGAAGGCCAGGTCATCCCTCTTGACCTCGTGCTGGCACCCCCTCCCTGACTAATTCACACCATCTGTGGGATGTCAGAACACATACATCTATATCATAACCATTCAGAGCGCCTGATCTGCCTTGTTGACATTCATTTTGTATGTCTCTCCCTCCGTTTGTGTTTTTGTGCCATCTACACCGTTGTGGTTCTGTGCATTTTTACATGTACAAAGACAGATTTACAACATTGAATATTTAGACATTTTAATCTGCAGCGCATGGTTTTCTGTTAACACCATAACACAGATTATATTCATTAGATTGGTAAAGATTGTACAATGTAATCATTTGTTATCCTCTCAAAGCAAGTAATTCAGAGAGTGTAGCTATATTTCCTAATGTTCACTGTTAGAGGTTTGTAAACATAAAGATATCAAAACAGGTAAACATGGTCAGTTAATAATCAGTTGAATTAAGTAAACATTTTCTTCGTGTTATCTTATCTTTGTGTCTTTCTTGTCTTCTTACTTTTCTTCTTTCCTTTCCTGAAACTCTATTTATAACTAAATCAGAAATGTTCCTGACACGTTATAAAACAACTCAGTGGAGACGTGATGAAAAGTGACACTTGGGCTCAATACCTGATATGTTACTCATTATCATGTATCACATATCCAGTGTGTGAAGAACTTAAGTGAGTGTGTGTACGCCATACTTTAGCAAAGAAATGTATATTTGAGTTTAGTTTTTGCCTTGTTTTTGGATTCATATTCTGCTTTCAGCCCCCCCACAGTAGTCTTTGCTGAGCAAATGCATCATTTATTTTCAAACAAAAACATTTATTCCCATTTAAAGATCTTGCTTAACAAAAACAAAGATAATGCAACCTTAATATGTTATTTTTCTCACCAATATGTTGAGTGTCTTCTGTCATGATCCCACCCCTCAGTAAGCTAGTCCGACAATAAGTGTAGCTGCTGCATCAGTTGGTCGGTTGGTTGATTGGTCGGTCGTTCCACTACTTTGATCCCGACTGAAATATAAAACAATCTATGGATGGCTTTCCATCTAGCACCACTAGCAGTCCAAAAAAAAGAATCAGTCATGCATGGTTCCCAAATGTCCTTAGAACTTTGGTGATCCTCTGACATTTCCTCTAGTGCTCCAATAACTATTGGATTGATTGGATGGAACGTGGGTCACACATTCATGTTCCTTTCAGAATTAATTGGACTATATAAATATAAAATATTAATAAAATACTATAAATTGTACACATGGCGCTCTAACCTGAGATGGTGATTATGGTAATAGATCAGTGTTGCAAAATCTGGCTAAATGTAATGAATTGTAAAATAAGTTCACACATTAACAGGAGCTATCTTCTAAGATATTATGTTCTTTATAGATTCCTAACAGTCATTCAGCTATTTAAAACATATGTTAGCATGAGTATGTAGACATTAATAGCATCATACGTTTTCACGTCAGCTGTATAAAACCACAGAAATCTCCGAACATCCAGCATATTGTGTCTTGGGCCTCAACGACACAAACAAAGCTTTATTTCACCCACTCTTCAGCAATGGTGGTACAAGTATATCAACCATTGTTAGAAACAATAAATAAATAAATGGAATAGAATCCAGAAAATATGTATGAGGTATTAACAGTGTTGGTGTTAATTAAACACAATATAAGGCACCACATTTGTTTTGTTTATCATTTATCATTTATCAACACATGTCATTTAGTGCATGTGTTATGTGTTGTAATAGAAAAAAAATACATAGACATACTTTATTGTAATTTCAATAAGACACAGAGTGTACTATTAAAACATTGTACTGGCTTACAGGAACAGGACAATATAAAAACTTGCTAAAATTGTACATATAAATAAATAATAGTGACGTGGTGCTGATACAATTAAAGATAAAGTGTGCATTTAAAATATAAAGACTTACTATACATATAAATAAAATCGACATACTATATAAAAAATATGTGCTCTTTACACAGCGTAATGTAATCTTTATGTTACTGGTCTACTTGCTGTTCAGCAGTCTGATGGCATGGGGGAAAAAGCTATTGCAGAATCTGGCTGTTTTGCTCTTAATGCTGCGGAACCTCTTGCCGGAGGGCAGCACGGAGAACAGAGCATGGTGAGGATGAGTGGGGTCTTTAAAAATGTCCTGGGCTTTTGTCAGGGAGCGTTTCTGAGCGGTGTCTCTGATGGGAGGGAGAGAAACTCAGATGATCTTCTCTGCTGTCCTGACCACTCTCTGCAGAGACTTCCAGTCTTTGGCGTTGCAGTCTCTCGACCAGATGGAGATGCCGCTGGTCAGCACGCTCTCTATGGTTCCTCTGTAGAACGTGGTGAGGATGGGAGGGGGGAGCTGTACTCTTCTCAACCTGCGCAGGAAGTGTAGGCGCTGCTGTGCCTTCTTAAATAGTGATGTAGTGTGAGTGGACCAGGTCAGACTGATGTGATATGCACCCCCAGGAACTTGGTGCTGTCTGTAGTCTTCACTGCTGTGCCGTTGATGTGGAGTGGTGGGTGACAGTGCTTTTTGTTCCTGAAGTCGACAATGATCTCTTTTGTTTTATCGACATTCAGGATCAGGTTGTTGGTGTTACACCAGTCAGTCAGATGTTTCACCTCCTGTAGGCCTGTTCGTTGTTGTCGCTGATGAGTCCCACCACTGTTGTATCGTCCGCGTACTTTATGATGTGGTTGGTACTGAACCTGGAGCAGCAGTCGTGGGTCATCAGGGTGAAAAGCAGTGGACTCAGAACGCAGCCCTGCGGGGAGCCGGTGTTTAAGGTGATGGTGCTGGAGGTGTTGTTACCGACCCGCACATACTGGGGTCTCTCTATTAGGAAATCCAGCAGCCAGTTACACAGGGGTGTGTTGAGTCCCAGGGGTCCCAGTTTGTTTACCAGATGCTGGGGGATGATTGTGTTAAACGCTGAGCTGAAATCCAGGAACAGCATTCGCACATGGGTGTTCTTCTCCTCCAGGTGGGCCAGGCTCACATGGAGCGCAGAGGAGATAGCGTCCTCTGTAGAGCGGTTAGGGCGGTAAGCAAACTGGAACGGGTCAAGTGTGGGGGGAAGTATGGAGACGATATGGTTATTTACCAGCCTCTCAAAACACTTCATCATGATGGGGGTGAGTGCCACAGGCCGGTAATCATTCAGGCAGGTCACTGAGGATTTCTTTGGCACAGGTACAATGGCTGCCGTCTTAAAACATGATGGAACAATGGCCTGGTCCAGCGAGGTGTTGAAGATGTCTGTGAGGACATGGGCCAGCTGGCCCCACAGTCCCTGAGCACCCGTCCTGGTATACTGTCGGGGCCTGCTGCCTTCCGGGGGTTGACTTTCCTCAGGGTCCTCCGAACTTCAGCTGTGTCAAGGCGAAGACTTTGTTCCTTCTGCTTGGGGACAGCTTTCATTGCAGTGGTGTTATTAAGTGCCTCAAAGCGACCAAAGTGATTATTGAGGTTGTTGAGAAATATAGTATCATTGTCACAGGGTGGTGGAGCAGCCTTGTATCCAGTGGTGGACTGAATGCCCTGCCACATGCGCCTGCTGTCCATGGGGTCATGGAAGAAACTCTGGATTTTTTGGCTATGAGCGAGCTTTGCATCTCTGATGGCATGGTCCAGGTTGGCTCTTGCTGTTCTAAGAGCTGCCACGTCACCAGATCTGTAAGCCAAGTTTTGTGCTTTCAGCAGAGTACGAACCTCCATATTCATCCAGGGTTTCTCATTGGCACGTGTGGTGATGATCTTGAGGACAGAGACGTCTTCCATGCACTTCTGGATGAATGCAGATACAGTCACAGCATACTCCTCCACATTAATCTGTAGGTTGACAGTTGCGGCCTCTTTAAACATGTCCCAATCAACAAGAACAACAACAACAAGAATCTTTGAAAACGTACATTTCTTTAGGTCAGAAAATAATTCTAAAATCATTTGAAAAACCAACACAAGTTTAACTCTTTAGAATATAATGACAATCTTTAAGTATGTAAGACACAATCTGGACACTAGTACTAACCAGATCAAAATAGTATTCTATTATTTTTCATTCACTTTGCGTGTTGACTCTTAATGTATCCAATTGAAAATGATGTCCACAAGTGTTGAGCTGTGATGGTGTCTTGTCTTCAGTAGTGTTCAAAAAACAGTTAAAACATTTAAATAAAGCTCTCAAAAATGTGGTTTGATGAGTGAAAATCTCTTTCAAATCCAACATTTGCCCTTTTTCACAAGAGATGTTTGGCAAATCCTCATGATTGGCTCCAGCACTGTCTCCACCACATGAGGTGCTAACAACTAAAAACACTGTGCCGGTTCAGAGTAGAGATGGTGAACCTTGTATGTTAG